AAATCCATCAACAAAACCACATTATTTAATTTAGGGAAAATACATAAAAACCCCCTGAACTTGGCATGAAAACTTACTTTAGTACTTAAACTACACGGGTGTTTATATACCCCCCTTAACATCTTTTATGTGAATTATTTTCAACCCTCCGAACACCAACTTTGTGCGCGTGTTGTTACATCTTAGAACGGCGCGTTATTCATCTTTTAACATTTTAAAAAAATTAAATTTACCCCTCCAACGGTAATATCCAACCCATTACCCATTTGAAGAACAATCTTCACTTTTGAAGAACCTTAAATACCTCTTCTCCCTCACCAACCCAATCATCCAAAAAATTGTGACCTAATTCATTATTTTTCTCAAATCTTAGCTCTTCAAACCTAAAAGTTGAATGTTTAAAGGAATTGTTCTTCAAAAATGTAAGATTCAAACCTAAAAGTTGAATCTTTGAAGGAATTGTTCTTCAAAATGTAAGATTAAAACCTATTCTTCTTCATCTATTATTTTGATTTTTCTTTCCTTCCTTTTTCTTATTTTCTGTTTTTTTTCCAGATTCTCGTTAATTCTTGCACAAAATTGTAGCACACAATGCGATCAATTAATTTGACAAATCTTTGTATGGAAGAAGATGATTATACTACGAAGAAAAAAGTTTATTGTAATCATGGACTTGTGGTGCGTTTGAAAACATCTTGGACTTCAATAACCCCGGAAGAAGATATTGGTCATGTCCTTATTATGGGGTAAAGATCATTTTTGTTTAAATTTTTTAGCCGATTAAAAATTTGATTAACCACTAAATTCCTTCATCCTTTTTCATTATTGAAGGGTTCTAGATCTTGCAACTTTTGGTGTTGGAAGGATAAAGAAAATATTGATCCGAGGTTGAAATTTGTGATTCCTAAACTAATACAGAAATTGGGTGAGCTTGAGAATATAGTAGAATCCTCTCAAACCTCAGCCACTGCATTTGAATTGGTTGAGGTTACTGAAGAAGTTTACAAGCCGGGAGATTTCAAACAAGATGATGATTGTCTAGGTATGAAATTGAAAATGTTGCAAGAAGAGGTTGAGAAGATGAAAGTGATGCAGAATAAATGGAGAAGAACATGGCAGAATGTGCTCTTTTTTGTTGTAGCTTGTTGTTGTGTCGTGGTTATAGCTATAAGCTATTGGTTCTGGGTGATATATATAAAGAAAGGTTCAATAAAGTTACAAGTTGTTGATGTAGTGAGATCAATGTTGGTGTAGTGTAGCACTGTTTATGTTGTAACCAATTAGGTGCAAGACTCTTTTGTAATGAGTTCTTCTTATTCTCTTAATGTAATTTGGTGGTTTGTGTATTTGTTTGTGTTTTATTTACAACTGCATTCGCTAAATTGCAGTCACAATTGCATAATTGTACACATAAAAGTAATGCAAAACTGGCTGCATAATTGTTTCAAAAAGAGACAACTAAAATATCAAACTAATGCTGTCACAACTACATAATTGTTTCAAAAACAAACATAGATCAAACTAATGCAGTCACAGCTGCAAACATAATTGTTTACAAAAACAAACAGATCAAACTAATGCAGTCACAGCTGCATAATTGTTCCAAAAACAGCTAAAATATCAAACTAAAGCACTCTCCATATCAAACTTCAGCAGCATTGGACCTTGTTCTTATTCTTTTGTTTTCTCTCATCTCTTGAAGACCTTGTTGAGTTACAGCAGCCTTTCCTTTCCATTTTAAGCATGATCTTGGTTTATGATGCCTAAGATTTTCAGTCACTATTGAAGAGTTCATAAGCATTCCAGGCTAGATTCACAAAAATATGTTGTCTTAGATGCTTTATAAGTTAAAATTAAAAAGTGTGTAAATAATTAAGACAACTTACATTGTGGATTGTAAAACCACTCTGTGTATGTAATATCCCCATTCCAACCATTCTTGGCCTCTTCCCTCCTCTAGTAGCACCAGGAACATCAGTAGCAGTAGCAGCTACACTAGTTCTTCTTCCCCTTCCAGCTAAACCAGTTCCAGTTCCAGTTCCTCTTCCCCTTCCAGTGGCACCAGAACTATCAGCAGCAACACCAATCCCTGTTCCATTACCAGTTGCAGCTCCTCTTCCCCTTCCAGTAGCACTAGCCTATAACATAAGTTGATCAACAAAATTATTAGACTGATTAAGATGTAAATTAACAACTAAATGAATTACTATAAACATTACCTGTTTTGTAGAACCTCTTTGTCGACCTCTTCTTCTCTTTGTGCTTGATTGTGATTCAGTTGGTGCTCTAGAAGAACCAACACTTGACCTTGTTGAACTAGGCTCACATCCTCTCCCCATTCCTCTTCATCTGCCTGTATTAGCTTGATTATTCAAATGACAACCCCTCTTATTATGACCCTTTGCATGACAAAGACTGCAAGTCATCTCAACACCTCTCTTGGACAATTTTCCTGTTTTGTTTTCATTCTTCTCCTTTCTCTTACACTTTCTAGGCCTTCCTAGTAGTGTTTTTATAACAGGTGGTATAACAGAAGGGTTGGACGACTGTGGCCACATTTTCATATTAGTAACTGGTTGAATGTAGTGACTATAGACCTTGAGATAAGTCTCCTTGCGATACCAATGTGCAACATAGGTAATGGGCTCCAATTTTCTAAAATGAAGTGCAGCTATAACATGACAACAAGGTATACCTCTTAGCATCCAAGATCTACAAGTACATGTTTGATTGCCTAGATTCACAACAAATGTGTTATCCCACCTGTCTTTAACCTCAAAACCATATTCACTATTCCATTCAAGGTTACACTTCATTGACTTTGTTGTGTTCTTTGTCAATACCTTTAGGGCCATTGAGATATGTTTGTTATCCAAGTATCACAGAACTCCGTCAATTGTCCTATTCTTCTCATCTCTTTGATCCTTATTTCTTCAAGCATTGTGATGATAGTTTTGTGTCTTGGCCCCAAAATCCATGAATTAAAGCTTTCAGCCATGTTGTTGTCAACACTATCACAACAGCTGAAAAACTTAAAGTATAATTTAGACCACCTCTCTATATTGTACCACAATAAGTCATCACATATTCCAGTGCCTAACTTCTCCATATGATCCAAATTTCATTTCAATTCTTGTTCATATGTAGTTTGGCACATCTCCAAAAACAATTTCTTCTTTCAATGCCTTTCCAATTCTTAGACCAGTTGGCTAGAACATGTCTTGCACACATTCTTTGTTCTGCATTTGGCAGAAGATCTTGAATAGCTTTGTCAAGACCCTTTAAACAACAACATTTAGAATAACATGAGATCTAACTTAATGAATAAATGAAAAAGAAAACAAAAATACCTTCTGCATATCAGTAATGGTTGTCAATTTTGTTCCATCTCCTAGCTCAAGATTATGTCTTACAAGCTTGATAAACCATTTCCAAGTGAATGTGTTTTCAACCTCAACAACTGCCTATGCTAGTGGTAGCATTTGGTTTTTCCCATCCTTACAAACAACCACAAGTAATTGACCTCTAGAAACACCTTTCAAGAAGCAACCATCAAATCTTATACATCTTCTAGCTCCATCTTTGAATGCCTTTTTTTAAAGCATCAAAGCATATGTAAAATGATTGAAACATTTTTCTGCCACCTTCAAAAGTTTCTTCACTAAGTCTCACCACACATGTGCTGCGTGGATAACTCTTTAAGAGCTCATCTCTATAATCTAAAATTCTTT